TGGCTTTCCCCCAAATCTGCAAGCAGTTAAGAAAAGATTTGTCTGCTTCCTTGGACTAGGACAGAGCCTATCCTCAGCCTTGCAGGAGTATAAGCTTCTTGAAAGAAGTGACTATGACTGTCTTTCTGAAAACAGAGCCCAGCACATGGAGACACCCAGTAAATTCTCCCCGGGGCTGTTTTGGGGTGCATTTCCTTTGCCCTTGGACTCTTCTGTGGAGCTTGGTTTGGGCCCCTCCCCTCACCCTGCTCAGTGCCACTCGTCTTCCAAAGCGGTCATTGCCAGCAGCCTGTCAGCAGTAGGGATTCTGACCATAAACGATCTGACTGCTTCACTCTCACCCCCGCAAAGCCTCACTCTGGGTTCAGTGTCTTTGGGAAAGAACTGCATAAGCTAACCAAGAATGGAACATGTGAGGGTGGAACCCTCAATTCACAGCTGCATCCCCTCCATCACAAGTTTGCTTCATACCAGGCATTATACCAATCACCTTAATCTTTTATTCCTGTAATAGATTAAAAGTTTTGCACTTCTATGTTCAGGAAAAAAATACAAAGTACCTTGACTAAGACAGCAGAGCTGGTAAGTCACAGAGCCAAGTTTAAACCCAAATTGGTCTAACTCCAAGGTTGCCAGGATTAGATGCACTTCTAGAACTGTCAGCAACCTTACCCCAAAGAATATTTCAGGCCTCAGGGACAAGCAAGGAAATTGAGGAGGCAGGATGCTTAGGAAACTTTCCTGGGGCCCATTGGGTGTTTTCCTACCATGTTCCCATGGATCCTGTCACTTAATAGCTCTCATCCCCACCTTAGCTTCAAGCCCTTGATGCATCCCCAGGTGCATTTTAGGGTCAGTTTCATGAAGCAGGCACATAATTGAAAATCTGCCTTACAGTTCCAAATAAAGGATTAGATAAGAACTAACTTTCTTTAAAGACACAAAAATGAAAGTACCATTTGAATTTTCACTCTATTTATTAACATTAAAACTGACATCATTGTGACTAGCATATATCTGGAGCAGTCCATGCCACTATGACCTGAAGAAGCCACCATAAAGGATAAACATTCTCAACCTGACTCTGCAGATGTGTGTTCAAGCTGGGCACAGTGTGAAGAGTTTTTTCATTCCAGTCCTCCCCTAGAACACAGTGTGACTGAAGGTTCACTAAACTAACATATGCAAAAGCCAATTGTAGCCTATGGGACCACATAGGAGCTCTGTGAGGTCATGGGACCACATCAAATTACTTAAACAGCAATCCATCACTTTTTCTAAATTAAAGAACAAAGAAGCATTAGGGAAGTGACTGCAGCACATAGCACCAAGTGGGAGTGACTCAACCCAGGTGCTTTCTTTGCCTCATTTCCATTCAAACAGTAAAGATGCAATTAAAGAATCAGTTCATTGTTGATGGCACTTGTCTCACACCCCTCCAACCTTGAAAGTGGCACACAGACATAAGCCATTGTCTTTCTGCTCCGAACCAACCCTGGGAACCCTCCTGAGGAGCCCCACTTGTCCTGCCATTGAACCAGTAGCCAGATTCCAAATGCATGCAGGATCTGTACTAGAAAAGGAATGCTGGCTTTAATATCTACCACAGTGAGTTAGTTTACTTCTCTGGCTGTAGTAGCTCAGTCATTTCTCATAGACTGATTGACCAAAGGTACTTTGGCAATAAATTGCTATATCATCTAATACTACAAACCAGATGTTCATAATACCTGCTGAAGAACAAAACAACTCCATGGAGCTGTACAGAGATTGGGACCAAAAGGAAAACGTGCAAGATCTAGGACTATTTCATGCCCTCTTGCTGTCTCAGGAAGAGATGGTCATGCAGTGGTGCTAAATGCCAGAATGGGATTATTTTGTATCACCTGGAGAAGACCATCTGGATTCTCACCAGCTGTCCTGCCTGGCACCAGATGTAGAGTCTCCATTTATGTGACAACTCAGAACATTAGTAAGAGAAGAGCAGCACAAGTCATCAAACTCAACCTCCCCTCAATTTGCAGGTGGAAGAACCAGGCCCCGAGGGGGATGCTGCTCAACTAGAGAATAGCAGAGGCACATAAAATTGAGTTCCCAATCCACTGCTCCCATCACACTATGATGCTTTGGTCCCTGGAAAACATGTACAGATGGTCATTTTCCAAAGGAAGGAAATAGAACTATAGCAATCAGTGGCATAGACTAGGGACAGGGTCTTGGTCTGTTTCAGCCCTAGGTGTATAAGCTATGTGAGCACAGGCAAGGTGTTTGACTTCTCTGTCTTCAGTTTCCTCATTTATAAAGTGACAATAGCAATGGTGAATATATCATAGAGTTGTTTTGATGATTAAGTTGAAATATGTTTAGCACTTAGAACCATGCTTACACATAAGACACCACAACATAAATGTGCTATCATCATCATCTTCAGGAAGCTGAACTGAGTAAATCACTCAGTAGGCACTTGGTAGATAAGAGTATTTCCACTCTTTGAAGAACTCCATAGAAGTTGAATGTGGCAGTGACCCCTCCACATAATGGGCACTGAGTATCTTGCTCACATTGCCGGAAATAGGCACTTATCCAGGATTCTTCTTCCTCTTCTCTCCTGCCTCACTCTTTCCCATTTTGCTTTCCTTGTGTATTTTTTCTGTCCTCTGTCTTTAGCTGTATCCAGTCTTGTGCAGATGGCATTCCATCCACAGTAATGCTAAGTCCACTGGCAGAACCTCTAATAAAGTAATTCCTACACTAGAGACTTTTATTTCTCTAGTATGAAACACAAGTTTCAATTGTTTCTCAAGTTGATATCAATATAAAAAACTAGACAACATATATATACACACATACATATATGTCATATAGATATATAATGAAAGTTATTTTAAGGAAAATTGTACATATGTGTATGTATACCTCCAAATGCATGTATTCTACATCCAGGTCCAGCTGTGGATAGAAAATATTATTTCTGCATGGAGTATGTACATACTCTTTTCCTGTTATTATTCCCTAAGCAGTACAGTGTAACAATTATTTACATCGCATTTACATTGTATTAGCTAGTATAAATCATCTAGAGATGATTTAAAAATACAGGAGGGTATATGCATGTTCTATGCAAATATTACACCTTTTTATATAAAGACTTGAGAGTCCAGATTTTTGTATCTGCAGGGGGTCCAGAAATCAATACAACAGATCATAATCAAGTATGACACTATATATGCCATATATATATATATATATATGTAATAGATACTCATAGAAATGTGTCAGCCTTGAAAATCTGCACACTCATTTCCTTATAAACCTATACCATTCATCTTTTGCAAGAGACAATATGAGAATTACCTAGTTCTTCAACTTGAGCATTCAAACTTAGTACACTTTATAGTCTAATATACCATAGGATGTGTTTCTAGACTGCCACAGGCCTGAGAATTAGGCTAATTTCTATAAATGCTTGTGGATCCTGTATGGAACTATAGCATTATGCTAGAACATGAACCCTGCTCTTGTTCATGAATAACCTATAGCAAAGGTACAGAGAAAGATAAGCCAGACTTGAAGCTATGAAGTAAATATGACTTTAGTTTATAGGAGCATTGCATTCGTTCTAAGTCAGAGGAAAAAATATGTGTGTGTTAAAATCCTTGAGGTAGGAATAGTTTCTATGCTCCTTGGTGAAGAGAGAGACCTGGATTTTGCAAATGAAAGGTTTGCTTTAGTTGTTTATCAAGCAAGGCATAGATCCATACCATGCCATACACATCACAGGCAAGCCAAATGACTTGAGTGTAGTCCAAGCAGACCCTGTACTATCTCAGCTTTTAAAAATCTTTATTTTCTAGTATGTTCTTAAAGAGCTAGTGAACTCCTAGCTTGAGCTGGCAGAGTAGGCATGCCGTTTTGTCTGCATCTCCTTCCCTGTGTCACTGGTCTTACAGAATTGTCTCTCTGTGGCTTTTAATCATTTGACAATATACAATTTTTCTTTCCCCAGCATACACTCTGTTTCTGAGCTCCTAGTCTTGCATATGACCCTAGGTGCTTGCAAATAAAGGTGATGGAGGAACACAGAGATAGAGTTAGGCCCCATCTTCCTTGAGCCCTTGTAGATTAGGACAATCCCAGCTCACAGGGTTTGTCTTCCTGAGACATAGTGAGGACAATGAAAAGAATAGCACCCAGATTCTGTGGTCTCATTTCTCGGTGGACCACGAAAGATTTACAAGGGATGTGGGGAAGGGCCAGAGGGAGGGCAGAAGGAAGAAAGAAATAAAGGGAGGATTCCTTGAGGCTGACCCATCAAGGGGTCATTAGTTCCAGGAATGCCAAGTCTTTCTCCTTGCCATGGGAGAGGCAGCACTGATGGCTGGAATAGACCCTCATGGACAATTATTCACCCTTTCTCAGGAGTGTGGGAAGACTCTCCACAACACCTAAATTATACATGTTGACAATGAATAGTCTGCCATGTACACTCCCTGACATCTGTTGCCCACAAAATATCCCCATCTCTCTACCCTTCTTACCACTTTTACCTACTTCTCACCCATCTGGACCCTTTCTTCCCCCATGCCTATCTTTTTCCTACTCACCCCAGGCTCTACTGGTTCCATTCCATGACAGAGGACAGTTAGAGGCACATAAAGGGCCATCATGTTTACCTCACCATGGAGCCTGACTGCTCTCTTGTCCTTTGGGCCCAACAGCATAAATGATCACCCTCAGCTCTACACATTTATTTTTTTAATCCTTTACCATTCAGAGCAGGTGGTACTGGTCCAGGCATGCTAATGCCTTGCCCCCTTGAGTTTCCAAGTCCTCCCAAGGGGCACTTTCCATTTATGTAGATTTGGAAGTGTCAGTGTGGAGTGGGTGGAAATTGGGGGAATGCTCCCAGAGAAGCATGCCTGTGCATTTGCTCGTCAGGGAATGTGTATGGTGTCCTTTGGGTACATGCTAATGGGTCTGTCTCTCTTTCCCCTGCACAGGGCCTGGAGCAGTCATTGATGGTGTAAACTCGGCCTCTAGAGCGCTGGCTTGTCTCTGGCTCTCAGGGACCCTCTTTGCTCACTTCTTCATCAAGTTTTGATAAGAAACCATAGTTCCTCTGAGCAACGTCTGCTTCTCCATATCACAGACTTTAATCTACACTGCGGAGGGCAAACCAGTTTGGTCTTTTGTTTCTTTCTGTTCTCCTTGATTTTTGGGGGGGTATTTGGATTTTGAGTTTTTTCCGGTTGGAATTAGTAGGGTTGGGGGGAGGGGTGGGCAGTGTTCTACCATGTGTAGGATAATCATTCATTCACTGGTGTGTCCAAAAATGGAATCTGCTCCTGCTACCTTGGCCCTTCCTTTTCCTCTACTTCTCTTCCTATTATCATTACCACCGATCTACACACACTCACATACACACACCCCAAACCATAAGTTCCATACGGGCAGAAAAATGTGTTTCATGACAAACAACCTGAAGACACAAGTTACTCATAATGTGCACAGCAAGAGTCACATCCATGTGTCCTATTTTCTGTGTCTTTTAAGCTTTTATTCATTTTCCCGAATGTAATGTACATCTCTTTTCTTCCATGTTTATTACCTAATTTTATAAGGGTTCACATATTTTATAGTTACCTCACTATACTATATGTGTATGCACATACATATATAAAATCTTGCCATCTTCGCCAGCCACTCTGTCCTATTCATTTCTTCCACTGACTGCGGGGATTAGAGGATTGGGCTGTGCATGCAACCCACAACTAAAAATTTAGAAAAACAAAAACAAAAAGGGGAGAAGCATATTAAGAATAGTACTTCTCTTTTAAAAATGCTGGGCAACTCATAAAAATGATAAATAGATGGATGGTTATTTAGGTTTTATCAAGCTATCTATCAAAGTAATCATGTGATTATGCATCGACTCAATTGTCTGATTTATTTCTACATCCAATTATCTACCCACCTGTCTTTCTAACAGTCTCTTTAGTGTTTATCAATCTATCAATGTAATTATCTAACATTTCTTTCTATTTCTCTCCTTGATACTCATTACCAATTCATCATCATATTAATCTCTAATCATGTTGTGTGTATCTATCCCATTATTTTCATTTCTTCTCTACCATCAGTAGACATTGGCATCTTCAAAATTGCATATCAACATCTCATATGAAAGCCAATGATCTCACAGGCTAACAACACAGAAAAGCAATACCCTGTGTCGTTGACTCTGGAATATGGTAACCCATCCACCCAGATTAGATGCTGTTACCAGACGGACCAAAGTAGCAATATAAATATCAGTCACTCACTGTTTCCAGAGGAGACTGTTTCCTGAAACCGCGAGAAGACCATTAGCCCTGGAGAAGCCTCGATGAGCACTGAATTTCTTCTTGCATAATTGAAGGATTAAGGTACCAAGCTCTATGCTTCTATCAGCCTTTCATGAAAGCACATGTCAGGAGAATACAGGACCTTCTTCAATGCTGGCTTTCCTCACTAGAGAGAAAGTGAAAGAAAACACCTCTCTTTTTGCAATGTAAAAACGGCAGTCCATGCTCCCAAGTGCAATGACTACAGCTAAGCAGCTCTATTCTGCTCCAGTTCTGGTTTGATCTGTTTGAAAACTACCCAGTAAAAAGCTGATAGAGGCCAATTACATGGCGGGTGTGTTGACAACTGTGGTATTTGTTTCAGAAAGCTCTTCTGAGCTGAGGGCACTTGAGCAACTGACTTAATTTCCAAGCACTTGATTAACACAACACTGCAAACAGAAGGGGAAAAGTGTAAGTGACACAATTTCCTCTGATGCAAGCTGCTTCTCAAGGGGCTTTGGGAAGGAATGTCCCCAGCTTCTTAGGTTCAAAACAGATCTGGCTTAAAAAGAGGCGTGGACACAGTCTTTCTGCATGGTCTCCTGGGACAAGAAGGACTCAATCAGCAAGGGAGCAGGGATTCAGAGAAGCAGCAGTGGAAGCTGCACTGTGTTGTGCTGCAGAGAGTTCCCTGCTGAAGGATGAGAATAAAGTACAATAGTGATATTCCTACAGACCTACCCTGCCTTCGCTGGAAAGCCTTTCAGGTCCACATTCTAAGAAATAATAAATACAAGCTCCATAGAGTTCTATTTCCTTGATGCTTAAGTGTTCTTCCTTCAGTATAAGTGGCCTTTCTGTGTTTGTCACTATTGCAACATGAACATAACATGACAGCTGCGGTGTCGAAATATACATATTCATATATATATATATATATATATATATATATATATATATATGCCCAGGCTATTTTGTCAAACAAAAAGTTAGGCATTGTCATTAGAGGTAGAATTGATGTGGACAAAATCAATAGTATACTTGCCAGCTGTGAATGGACATCTGCATTACCTAGTGTACTGCTGAGGAGCAAGATTCGGGGAACATAATTGATGTGCCAAAATCAAGTGGCAGACATGAGCAGGAGCATGCACCAAGTCAGAATTTAAGGTTGGGCATAAATGTTTCAGATCTATCAAAACACTCAACATCTGGAGTTGAGTTGGTTTCAGAAATTGCATGAGAAGTAAATGCATCATTTGAAGGTTCCACTGATACTAAGTTTGTTACTTTGAAATAAGGTAAATGTGGAGGCTGCATGATGATGGGGAACATGGTGCTTGAAACGGACAAGTTGTGCCTGTTTCTCACTCCAAGATGCATTCTAAAGTAAGGGGGTTGTCCTCCTTTGGGCAACCAGATCATCAAAACCTTGCAAACCCCACAAGGCTGGTCTCAGGGTCACTAAGGATGGAACTGTGCTCTGTCCCCTTCCACTAGATGCTAGGAAGCATCTCTGGTGATTACCTATTCCTGTCATGATTCAGAGAGAAAAGCATGCTACGGTCAGCCTCCCCTTGTTTGGGATACAGCAAATCAAGTGTATAAAACCCAAGAAGAGTGGGATACTGGGCATGCAAGGGACTCTTCTTCACAACAGACATATTCCAGGTTCTGTGTCATTTGAGTGACTTTGGTGGGGACGGCTCCATATGACAGTAGCTGTTACCCAACATCTTGAAGCAAACAGAAGAGCAAATGTTTATTAAAGACAACATCCACACTTACATATGCTTTTCCAGCAGTACACATGGAGGGTGGGTGGATAAGGCCTGCTGGACAGATTTTTTCAGGGTGTCAACGGTGGGGGCAGGGCGGGGGTACAGGCAGGAAAGAGAAATAAGTCTGAGCAACCTGGAGCTCGCTGTGAGTTTTTCACATGGGTAGAAAACCAAATAAGGCTGAGGTGAGAGGAATTCAGCAACATGGCAGTTATTCCGAAGCCCTTCCCCTTCTCGAGACAGAGTTCATATGTATTCCACCAAAGTAACGCCAATGAAAGTGCTAGTGTTAAGGCTTCAACCAAGCTTGTTATTTCCCTAGTTTAATGTCAAGTGCCTGATACAGTCATCTGCAAGTCTAAACAAGTGTATTTAGTTTTTCTCATTCTTGTTTTAATTGAGGAGGGTGGAGATGGAGGGGAGTGGTTGTGAAAACATGCACACATTTTATGCACAGAGTAGTGCACCTGTCTTTGACTGTAACTGTGCTCAGTTGAACAGAAGGAAAGAGAAGGCTTTGGGTAGCAGAGGTGCCTGGGCATCTTCCTCTGAAATCCACTCCTCTTCACATGTTGGTTAGTTAGTTCACACAACCTCATGTGAAGTGTGCTTAAAGTCTCTAGTAGTCACACACCAGGGGCTGAGTTTGAGCATCTGTTTCTGTAGCAATCCGGTTAGCATATTCTCAACAAAGATCAGTTAGCAAGTTCTACTTATATTGGAAGAACTATTACACTGAAGGAGCAGAGAACCCCTAAGTGGGCAGCTGATCCCATAGACAGTCCATTATAGCCCTTGCCTCAGGAGCAGCTAGAAACCGAATCCGGTTTGACTAAGTACTGATGGTTGATGCTTCTGGTCCAGTGGTCACATCTTCTCTGTTATTGTATGTGGCTGTCACCAGTCGCATCATAGAAGGAGGAATGGAGGATGGTTTAAGATGAGGGGAGATCTGGTGAAGGGGGTGTCTTCCCCAGTTGACCCTGAGTTCTCACCAGGGCAAGAAAAATCCACTTTGCAATACCTAGAAGCAGCCAAAAAAAAGTTTAGTTTCTTAGGGGAAGCAACATAAAACTTTTTGTTGGAAAAATGCATTTTATTTTCTTTCTTCTCCAGCAGCAAGAACTTTTGTTTATGTTTTGCACAATCCCTATTCCTCATATCCACTTGCTTCCTGTCCTATTATGCAAGGATTCCCTGTCTCTTTCTTTTAAAACAAATATGTTTGAGTAGTTACAGTAAAACTTCACAGGTGTACAAGTAGGAAGACAATGTTTTTATAAAGATATCATATGATGAGAACTCTTAATGATCATTAAAAGCAAACAAATAAAAATGCCAGTCTCATTTCCCTCATTTCTTACTTAAGAGAAGAGAAGTAAATGAAAGGAGGAAGAAATAGATTTGCAATTAAAAGATGTGGCAACACGATATAGCTGATCCAGTGCAATTTAGCCTTCAGGTGCAGAACACTTGGAGTCCAAAGGAAAGTGGAGTGGACTTAATTAGATGCAATTGTCTTCATCCTGAAACTAGTCAGCTAAGCCTAATTTCCAGCAGTTTGAAAGAGATTCCTTTTTGTTTCTTTCAGCGGTGCCCTTTCAAGGCACATAGTTGTTCCACACCACTAGGTGAATAAAGAAAGATTGTGACCCCTGTACCACACTGGTGGGGCTGCATCCTATGTTATTTGGCAGATTTATAAGGATATCAGTAATAACAATGATAAGTAATAATAGCTGCCCTTGTGTTAGTTAAAGGGAGCATTTTTAATCATTTCAGAAATTTTTGTGACACGTAAAGTGCAGTTGTGAGGAATGTGTGGGTGTACAAAAATGTATCTGTCAAGTTCAGAGTCCTCTAGATTAAAAAATATATATATGACTTATCAATGGTGCCGTTATAGCTGTGTCAAACAATGGGTGTGCCCATTTTCACAATTACCCTTCAAACAAATCTATGTTCAAATGCTTTAAAATTTATCACACAATACAAGAGTATGACTTTGTCAGCCTTCTAGAGTTATTTTTCTTTTTCTTTTTTCTTATTTTTTCCTTCAAAATTTAATGAAGACTTGATTTCTGTCAATAATTGTATTAAGGGTGAATATACTACCTGAATTTTGTGCATGTTACATTGTAGTTGTAACCTTTTCTAATTCGGGATGAATACAAGATGGTTGTGATTGTGCAGTGTATCAATAAAGTTTGAAGAAGTTTGTAACTTTTAGGGGACTGTTTATTAGGACATGCTTTTGAGATCTAGGGATGGAAAAATGCAGTAGGGTATGCTTTTCACTCTCTGTGTTTTAGGATTTGGGGTGTAGATGCAATCAAAAAACTGTCTGTCTGTCTGTTGGTCTGTCTTTCTCTTCCTCTCTCCTTCTGTCTTTATCCTTTTCCCCTTCTCAGATACACACTCTACATACTCACACTCCAACATACATACACACACAGAGGGAGAGAGAGTCTAAGCATTTTTCACATTATATCTACATATCATTTATACTATTTACAAATAATTTTAAAGGGTTCTGCATCTTCAAAGCCTAAATTATTTATTGACCTAGGCTAATCAGAACTGAAGCTCCAGAAAAACAGTGACCATATACTGTCCAATTTAGGCATTTTACTCTATAACAGTCACTGCTGCTTGATTCCACTGGAGTAAGAACCACTTTAACAGGGATAAACATGAGAAGATATAGTGGTGACAATGTACATTCATGCCTGATAGTATGTGCCATTGGATTAATTTTTGTTCATTTTAGCCTTTGCTGGAATACCTATGCAAAAATTAACATGACAAAGGGCCCTGGAGCACATGCTCCATGACTGGTACCAACTCCAAAACACCATTCTTTTCCAGTAAAATTCCAACACACTCATCTGCTTTCCTGCAGGATTGCATATTAATTTCTTTCTTACACCTCAGGTTCTCATCAATTTCCTGTATCTCTGTGAACCCTTTCTAGTTCTGCCAGGAGCTTGGATGGCTCCTGGACTTCACAGCCTTGGCTTCCCCATCTGCACCGTTTGTGAAGTTAGCTACATGCCCTCTTGTACTTCAGTTCAAACATTTGTGGCCCAATCCTCCGTCTCTCTCTCTCTCTCTCTCTCTCTCTCTCTCTCTGCCTCCCCACCAATCATCAACTCCCAAAGCTGAATGACTACA